TTCAGTAGGCTCTGCTGCCACACCAGTTACACTGTGGTGCAGCAGTGCCTACACCTGTTTTACTACAGGCATTGCCCACTATCCCACTTCAAGGCTCCAACCAACCACCTTGACCTGAACACCGACTCCACAGAAAAAAAGTGACAACTTTCCCATTATCACTCTGGTTCACTGTCAAAAGTTGCATCAGCACTGACAAAACCTGCCCCAGATTAAGCACTGGGAAGTGTGTGGGGTTGCATTAAGTCCTTTTCTGTCAAAGGCATTTTAATTTTATCTTATTACTCTTCACTTGCATACTCTACAGGAGGCTGTTTTCCTCAACCATGCAAGAAAATCCTGTTCAATACTTTACTACCACTTAAAAACCCCTATTTTCACTAGCTTAGTTGCATACTGATAATATTTTGAAATACAAGCTGCACCTACATTCTTATTTGGACACAGCATCCAACCAAGGCCCTGATGGTTCTCCCCATTTTCCTGTGGCCAACTACATTCCACAGTGGTAGAAAAGACATTGGCAGAAGCTCCTCTATTTTGAGGCATGTTTTTCCTCCACGAGAAGCAGCCTGCCTTGCACACTACAGCAGATCCTGCTCACTCATGTTATGCTCAGGGAACAGGACAACTCCAGGTGTTCCATCCACACAACCAGAGAGTTCCCAGGAAGATGTGCTGTGTTCAGGGGGAATAGCTCAGGCTGTGTACCAACATGCTGTTTGAAGATTCCAAAGATAAAGCTTAGTTAAAAAACACTGCGAAAGCAACTTTTCCCAGATACTGAGCTATCCTGGATCATTGTTAAAATAAAGTATCTGGAAGGCTCATCAACACTGTGACAGCAGCAGGGGAGCTGCCCTTCATTCACCTGACCAGCAGAAGGAAGCAGAGCAGCTGGAACCACCCCACTTTGCCCGGCCCAAGACGAGCCCCAGCAGCCCCGTCCTGGGGGCCAAGAGCCTGCTGGGTACCTGGTGCTTATTCATCCACTGGCAGATGCACAAGAGGCTCAAAAAGAAGTTAACAGCACTCCAAGACATGGCAGACTCAGCAACACTTCACATGTAATAAACCCTGAAGTACCACTGAACTCAAGGTAACTGCTCAAACACACTGATGCTGTCAGATCCAGGCTCCACACAAGCCCCTCTGCATTCTGCTGTTCCCCAGCTGCTCTCTGGTGCACAGAGTCATCCAGATCATGGAGTGGCACGGGCATTCCTGCTTGCCCCCAAAGCTGCAGGAGCATTTTTGTCATTATTTCCCCAAAAAGAATACCCATCATTGGCCAGAAACACAGCACAGCATCCTTCAACTCGAGGAGAGCTGAGCAATTCAAGCCAGCTTGTTCCAAAGCAAGACAATTCTGGCAGCCTCAGCTGCTGCTGGGAGCCTAGCACCACATGCCACAGCAATCCCCTGCAGCTCCCCCAGGGTCTCTACCAGTCCCAATCCACAGCAGCCAAGGTTTGCTCTAACACCACATCAGCCTGGTGAAAACCTTCACCTGCCAGAGTTTGGTCTGTGCTGAAAAACACACGATGATCCCACACAGTCTGATCACAGGCATGGACAACTTGGCAAAAACGACCCAGTACCTACACACCTCTCCAGACAAAGGCCTCAAAGGAAGCCCCCATGTTACTTTATTAAAAAAGGTTCTGTATTGTTTTTTCATGAGACAAGAAAAGAGTGCATGGACCAACTCTCCTGGTAGGAATTATGTGAATTGGCAGCACAAGAGCTTAAAACAGAAAACAGCTTTTAAAAGCTTCTGAAAACAAATTCTTTGTTTGCTCTTTATAAAATATCATTTGTTTAGAAGAAAAATCAACACATCTTAAGGAAAGAACAGCTGCTCTACTGAAAACAGCCCTATTAAAATTTTCAAGTTTTACACCTCTTTAGTCAGAGTCATTCTCTGAAACTCCAAGGGAAGATTGCAAAGATGAATTACACAGACTTTGCTTCTTGCTCTCACTGTTTGCAGTTTTCTGCACGCCCAGGGCCAGGTAAACAAACCAAGTTCATCCACTCAAAAACAACCTAAAGGATCCCCCAGCAAAAGCTGGGAATTGCCTGCCTTAATGCCATTCCTGTCACTCACCTCAGGCATTGACACACACACCACGGGCTGCAAGAGGCAGCTCACCACTACCTTGGGGAGGCCAGACATCCTCAGGGAAGGAGAACTTTCATGCCAAGCTTCAGCCCTTGCAGAAACTCTGGAGAAAGGGCTTTCTTTACCTACCACTGCTAATGGCAGTCCTTCCTGATGGAGAGTCCCTTAGCTTGTATAGTGTAAAACCATAATGAAGTGTAAAGTGTAGGGTTTAGAGGAAGCCTGCAGATTAAATGGTGACAGGCTGCAGAAATGTAAAGATACTTTAAATTTCCTTTAAAAATTTCCATAATAGCTTATCTGGTCAATGCACTGTTTTACTTGTCATATATTAACTGCTGAAAATAGGGTGCTTTCACCTACATTTAATGTTAAGAGAGTGAAAGGAGCCAAGGAAGAAGACTAAGTGATTAAAGAGAGCTTCTTGCTACCTGAAGCACCAGAAACCAATTTCACTTCCATTTGATTAGACAGCATCTTCCAAAACAAAAAAGATGTCATTCTTTCCTCAGGAAAGAATATTTTCCTAAAGGGCAAGGATAACTACATTCCCTATAATTCCTCCTAACTGTCTCCTGCTCTAGAAACTCATACCATAAATTCATGATGGAGTCACAGGAGAGCAGGAAAGCTCAGCTAACCACAATGGGCAGGATAAAACACACAAGCCCCCAAAAAAAGCTGTGAGCACTCACATGGGCATCAAGCAGATTACACACACCTCAGCTGCAGCACTGCATGTTTGTTTATTATCCAATCTTCCGGAGGCAGCAGCAGAGCTGGAACCCGGCTACACCAACCCAGCCCGGTAACAGAGAGCTGCTGAAAAGGTTTTCACGGGAAGGTCCAGCTACCTATGTTCATAAGACTTGGGAAATTACTTTACTACTACAACTGTATTTTAACCAAAAGGAAACTTGACCTCAAGATTAGTGGCCGGCTTCATGGTGCACCTTCCATCAGCCTCACACACGGTTCACAGCAAGGAAAGCCCACTGCACACTTATAAGAGAAATCACTGAGAGTTTCACAAGGGCTCCATTTCTGTTTACTGTTGGTTTCTAGCAGAACTACAGTTTCCATTTTAGGTACTTCACACTCCAGAGCTTCCAGAGCTTTTCTATTTAAACAGTAAAACCATTATGAACTCCCCAGGCTGGCCATCAGCTTCAGGCAAACAAACAACCCTAAAGCAGAGCACTTAATGAATTCAGAGCATCAGTTGCAGGTCATGAATAACCAAGTTCAAAGTATGCAAATCTAGTGATTAAAATTTCTGCCTAGGATATGCTACCAAAGTGAAAACATGTTCTATCTTGCACCACAGTAATTTTTAATTCCTTGCCAAGACTTAAAAATCCCTTTTTTTTTTTGTTACTGAAGCATAAACGAGAACAGTTTAAACACCAAACCATTTTTACAGTCAGCAATATACTGATTCAAACCTGACATGCATGTCTAAAATTTGACTCAAATATACATTTGCCTATACTGTCTTCCTCACAACCTTACACCTGACATAAAGAGTTTACAAAGCAGAAGTTTACAACAGAAGGGAAGTTTACAACAGCTTCCTACATACAGCCAGCTGAATATAATTCTCTTACTGAAAAAGAGAAGCTGTAATGCTTTACTGAGTTATCCCAACCAGCAACACAAAGAACTTGATGCAGGTTTTAAATGCCCCTTCGAAAACACACAAAAAAAAAAAAGTGTTTGGGGCACTGCAACTCAATACTTTGAACAGCCCACACATCCTTCCCTGACAGGGAAGCACAGATGAACATGAGACAAAGACAATCACAGATGGCCAGACCAAGCCACTTCTGATCACTCAGTTGCCATCTAACATGGCCTCCTCGCCAGACCTTGTCTTCCTCATGCTGTTGTCAAGAGGGGAGTTCTGGCTGCCCCGGCCACAGCATCCACACAGAAAGGACATCAGGAATCCTGACCATTCTTTGTTAAGCACGCGTTTCCAATGCTGGCTGTCACATCTACCTGGCTCTGCAACTGCCTCCTACTGCTGTCACCAGCTGCAAGTTCTTTTTACTTATAGGTACACAACTTAAGCCCAGATCACTAACACAGACCTTTAAAACACAGACAGGTGTTATGCCGCTGCAGTATAGACATTTTTATGAAATTTCTAAGGAGAATAAGAAACAGATGTCAACACCAGCCCTCGAAGCGGTGCCAGCTCCTGCCCCAGCTGCAGCGGGTGGCATCACGCCGTAACGAGAGCATGGGACAGCTCTGGGTAACGCACAGCCTTGCAGCTCGTGGGGCAGATGTCCAGGAGAGCCTGAGACTGCTCGACTGAGCGCTGTCTGTGCAGGGCACACAGCTCAGCTCAACCTCGCCATGCCCGCACCCCGCTGCGGTTCAGGGCTCCCGTGGCACGGCACACCCAGCCCAGCCCAGCCCAGCCCGCAGCCCCTCGGGGCTCCTCGCACAGCCCCGGGCGTTGCACCGGGCACGGAGAGCCGGGGCCGGGACGGGCAGGGCGGGGCCGGGCAGGACCAAGGAAGTGCGGCCGGGCCCCGCCATGGCCGCGGGAACGCTTCCTGCGCCGCTCCTTGGGTCCAGCCTGCCCGCCGCCCGGGAAGGGGAGAAGGCTGGGCAGGAGAAGCGGCGGCCATGCCCACCGTGTGAACAGAACAGCACCACAAAGGAAGCGCCCGCCGGCAGCCAGGAGGCCCCGCACACACAGCGGGCCCGCAGGGCGGCTCCCGCACAGCGGGCGCTCCGAGCGAGGTGAAGGCCGGGGGTCTGTCGGTCGGTGCCGGGCGCGGATCGGGGCCGCTCGGGGGTCCCGGTGCTCGGCCGGGGGTCCCGGTCCCGTCTCCGCCCCCCTCCCCCCCCCCACTCTCACCTCGGACGCTCCGCCGGGCGTTGGCAGCTCACTGCGGGGTCTCCTCGGCGCAGGCACAGGGGCAGCCGATTGACGTCACCGCGCAGCGTGCCGGCGAGGGGGCGTGTCGGCTGCAGCGCCCAAACTCCCTCTAGGTTTTCTTTTTTTGTTTTTTTTTCTTTTTTTTTTTTGGTCTTTTCAATTCCTCCTGCTGGGACACTCCTTCTGGCTAGGAGACGACACCCCAGAGCAGTGGGCACTTATGGCAGCTTAAATACCCCTAAACCCCACCCATCCTTCAGGAATAAGAAGCCAGGAAGAAAATCTCCAGGCGCGGCCTGAAAAGCAAAGTAAAAATCTGGCCTGAAACAGAAAACTCCAGAGTAATTCAAATTTTAAAAGCTGGAAAGAGCTGCAAGTAACAGTGCCAGCAGCCTCAAGTCACCAAACGCTGGCTCTGGGGAGCACCTGGAATGGGTTAAACCCTCAGAGCATCTTTGTGTTGGGCCTCTTAAATGAGCCCTGATTCATCTGCATGGCCAAAGACAGAACAAAACCCACTCTGCCCAATGTAATGGTGTCAGGAGCACATCTGTGCCACCTTCTGCAAATATTGGCCATCCCTGAGGATTTTGGAAAGATGTTGCCTTCCAAATATGCTCACTGTTGCCCTGAGCACTCACAACAGAGCAAAGGAAGAGGAATATTTTGAAAAGAATTTTCAAGATGAAATCATGAATGGATGTCAGTGTCTCACTGTCTCTTCCAGCTGATTTTGGATGAAATCCCTGCCCTGTCAAGCGCAAAGGCACCAGCTGGGTAGAGGCTCAGCCAAGTGGATGAGATCACGAACCTGGAGAAACCCTGGAGTCTCCCACAAGGCACCATCTCCTCGTTTCTCCAGAAACTCATCCTCACCACAAGCATCACAGGAGGCTCCACCTCAACCTCCTGCCACCAGCTTCATCTTTGTCTGTGTTCCAGATTATGGGTTGCTTTGTCTCTAAAGCACCTTCCAGTATTTCTGATGATGCCTCAGTTGTTTGGCTTTAATTAGATCCCAACGGCCATAAGCAATTTTGGGTGAATGGTTCCCCCTTACCACTCCCCCCGTCCTGCAGCAGCCTCATTCCCCACTTCCCACAGTGCCAAGAACACTGAGCATGACTATGGGCTCATCACCTCCATGTCCATGCCATGGTACAGATATTAATGATGGAAACAGAGAAAACCAGGGCAGGGATCCCCACTTCCCAGAGGAGCATAAATCAACACACGTAAAGATTTGGTGTTGCTGTAATTAGCACCACACAAAGCCCATGCAGTAATTAACTTTCTCCCTTTCAAGCTAAGATTTAATAGCATGCAGTAAAAGCAGTCCCAAGGCGATGAAACAAGTAGAGAAAATCCCTGTCAAATTAGACTTGATAAGGAATTAATTATAGCCTGGTCTAATACTACTACTAATAATAATAAATTGCTGTTAATATGCCCTTGTGCTCCAAGTGAGGAAAGACATTGAGAAAAATGTCCCATCTTGAATCCAAGGAGCAGGTTTCTGCCAAACAGAGGCTTAGCCATGCTGGGATGTAGGTGAGCTACTGCACTGGACAGAGCTGGGAGAAGAAAATCTGGGACAAAAAAACATCCTGGGCCGCTAGGGAGCTGCCCCAAACCTCCCAATCCTCTTCCAGAAGGAAACAGCTCTTCCCGTGAGGAATTATCACTTGACCATCTCCCAGTGCATGGGGATGAGAACAGAGGGACACTAGAGACTGGAGGCAAGGCTATGTCCTGCAAAGGGGGAATAACTCCAGCAATGGCAAAACACAGTGACAGTGCTGGTCTCCAAGGGTCTCGTTTTTGCAGATGCCCTCACAGTCGGGCTCCACCAAGAAGCACCAACTCCATCCATAGCAGAATTCAGACCCCAGGGTCAGAATTCAGCTCCTACAACTGGTCCCCAGCCCTCCCATGTTGCCTGTGGAGGTGGCAAGGCCATTGTGTACATGCAATTCCTGAAGCAGCATATAAGATCACCTGTCATGTCAGGAAAGTAAGATCTAATGTTACATGCCAGGATCCAACCTGGACATCCTCTCTGTCAATATTCCAGCTTTGGCTCCTCACAGAAGAACAGGCAAGTTCCTGAAGAAGCCCTGTGTGGCTGGGCAGAGGGAGGATATATCCTCAGCAACTCTGATCTTTACTTTTCCCTAGTTTTCCTAAGTGGAAAAGAATGCTGGAGGTGTTCTACCAGCTCCACATGCCACTAAGTCTCCCTGGCAAAGCTAAAGGTATTTTTGCCATGCAGGAAGAACACAGAGCCTGTCTTGGTGGCACACGTGAGATTAAGGTTGATTTATTTTACTCTCCTCACTGCTCTGGCATAAAGTCATCCAGTATCCTGTCTCTACCTGGCAACTCATGCACTCAAATCCAAGGGGGAATGCATGAGGATGTGAAACACACATCATCTGAAGAGCACCTGAAGCCTGCATGGCACTTTTGAGGATGCTCCTTCCAGAGAACAGAACTTCAGGTCACTCCATGTTCCCAGCTCAGGCATTCAGACCAGCTAGGACAGAGACCAGAAGACTCCTCACAGCAGACCCTTTGCACAGGCTTTTGACCACTGTTCCCAGACCACAGAGCTCTCTAAACATGTACATTTTAATAAGGGGCAAAATCCAGCCCTGAGATCATTACCTGACACAGCACTCACAGTGAGGTACACCAGAGCCAGGCAGATAGCAGATATTATTTTACAGCATTATCACATTTGTCCCAAGCATTTCTGTTTTCTGCTCCAAGCGCTCTTGGAACTTACACCACCTGGTATCATCAGCCTCTTGCTACAGCTTGGCATAGGTCAATGAAGTAAATTATTCAATTACTAGAAAATCCAGTAAGACTGAATGCAGAATTAGTCTCCTTAAAGCACAAAGCAATCAGCATTTTTGTTTCTTGGTCTCCTTCCTTGCCCTCCCTTTGGCAGCATACAGGCACTGTGTCCCCTCACTCAGGGGCTCTGCTCAGGCAGTCCTGTGTGGTCACTTGTGTGACTTGGTCAGGCCCTGGAAGTTGGGCTCCGTGCACTGGGGCAGTGCTGCTTGCCGGTTCAGCAGCTTCTCCAGGGCAGTTATTTCAGCATCTCGTCTCTCTATGTCCTCAACTGGAGTCCAGGACATGTCATATTGGAGCTTATAGGCACCGAGATATTCATGGGGAGTGGTCCCCCATTCCTAGTGGAGAAAAGAGAGATTTCATCAGTGGTCAGTTTCCCTTGGAGCCAGGCTCTGCTGTCCCTCAGCCCTACTACCTTCAAAGCAGTCCCAGCTACATGACCATCCTATTTTCTAACCTAAAAATAGAAGAGTCCAAGATCAGGACTCAGCTACCCCAACTCCAAGATCAGGTCGAGCTCCAGCACTGCTGACACAAGAAGGCTTGAGGATACAAGATCTCCCTGACCTGCCCAGACCTTTGCCCTGAAGCCTTCACCCTGCATTTAAGAAAAATGGTAGTCTGGAAGAAGGAGGCCCCCAAGACCATCCCCTCAGCTGCAGGCAAACTCAGTCCCTGGGCTGAAGTACCAGAAGAGACCATCCTGCCAGGTAGCTACACCTGGGCAGCTACACCAGGTAGCCACAACCAGGGAAGGCTCAGGTTATGTTCTTTACTTCCAGACAAAGAACTGCAGGTACCAAAAGACAAAATTCAGGTCCATGCCCCAAAGGGCTTCTTGCCATTCTCCACCAAGAGCCAGAGAACACCATAAGATGGCTCTGGCCCCGGCAGACTAACCCAGAGCAAGGGCAAATACCAAACCCGAGTAGGGACCAACGAACGCCCCACCAAATTGGTGCTTTTGCCTGAGCTCTATATGTTCCCAGGCACCAGAAATATGACTTTTTTCCCTTCCCTGCTTCTTCATGGGCTGTAACCACCCACCTTAGGAGACAGGATGGAGAAGTACCGCTGCCCACTCTCCCGCCTGTACATGTAGTAAACATTTCCTGGTTTCTTCACAAGGTTGCAGGCCACGTGGTGCAGATCAGCATCCCTGTTAGCTTCATCCAAGACCTGGAATACACAAAACATCTTAACACTTGAAATAAAATGACAACATGCTATTGCCTCTCAGCCATAGCCCAAGACACATCACTTGACCTATGGGTCATGAGGTCTTGATCTCCCTGACATACAGGAAGGAGATGCTTTCCAAAGAGATAAAGCTTTTTCCAATTCTTCCCTGTCAGTAACACCACAGAGGTGGAGATACCTCTGCATCTCACCCCAGATTCCACCACATGCTGGGCTTATTCCTCATCTCAGCACACAGCTGCTGGAGTGAGGCCTTCCTGCTGTGCCCTGCAAGGGAATGGGCAGCAAACAAAGGAGAATTCATCTCTCCAGCTCTACCACCTGACTGCTCCACTGCTCCAGCTCCACCAGTTAATGATTACATGATGTAATGGCCTCAATGGCAGTGAGCCAGTTGCAGTGACTGGCAGATCCTTCTCCACTCTGCCTCCAGATTTCACCCCTAAGGGTGAAGGCTGGATTGATGAGCACAGACAAGGCCTGCTTTGTGCTGCTGGGACCATCCTCTCCAGCAAATGAGCCAGGATAAACGGGAAAGCCAAGCTTATCATCAGGTAAGAGCTCATCTCTCCCAGGGCCTCAGGTCCAGCTAGGGCCACATCATCACTTCACCAGATCCTTCCAAGAGTACAGTGCACACACAAGTCACATGTTCCAAAACCAGAGTCATCTCTCTCTGTCCTGGCACCCGAGCTGTTTTGGACCACCTGTCCTTGCTCCCCTACTTTATTCAAAGTCCTTCCTGGTGTGCTCAGGATGCAAGGAAAGCACCAAAATCAACCCTCCCCCATCTCCCTTGACACTGGAAAATAAACCTCCTTATTTTTCCATTGAATCCTCTCTACTCAGCTCCTGGCCCCAACTCACATCTGGGCCACAGCTTTTCCCAAACACCCAGCAGTGGCGGCAGATGCTCATCTCCCCAGGCAAGGCAACGAGCCTTGGCCCATCCTCACTCACCTTCCGTGCCTGCTCCTGCAAGTGCCGGATCTGCTCAGCGATGACTGTCAGTTTGCTGCAGGCATTTGCTCGGACAAAGTCATTGGCCTGGGAGAGAAATTCAGGGCTGGTCAGGACAGGAAGAACTGCAGCCCTCGGGACTGTGCTGAGCCAGCTATGGTCAAGCTCAAGGCATCAACAGAGCTGGGGGTGCAGGAGCTGTCCTAGCACCCCCAGGCAGGAGCAAGGACCAGCAGCTGTCTGGATAGGCTGAGGGGCGGTGAAAGAGAACAGCAGGACATACTGGGAGGCAATGGGTTGGACTGGGAGGTAGTGGGATACACAGGGAGGAGGCAGTAGGACATACACTAAGCATTTAGGTGAATTGAGAAGCTCTGGAGGACACCACTGGAGATCATCAGGATGTACTATGAGGCACTGGGGAATAGTATAACATACTGGAGCACACTGGGTGAACCAGTAGGACATATCAGGAAAAACTCGGGTGGACTAAGAGCCAGGATGGACTGGGAATCACTGAAAGCATCTGTACATGCTGATGTGAACTAAAGATAATGGAACATACTGGGAAACAGCAGGGCAGACAGGGACAGGACTTCAGTGGGATGCTCTAGGAGTCACTGTGGGGCAGCAGGGCACAGTGGGAAACACTGAAGTGCACTGGGAGGTTCTGGAAACGTAACACCGTGGGAAGTCGGGGAGATACTGGCGGGGCACTGCGAAATACTAGGAGGGGACAGTGGGAGATGGTGGGAAACATCACAGGACACACCAGGAGGCTGCCGAGGCCAGCAGAAGGTACTGGGAAGCACCAAGGCCGCCGCCAGCTGAGAAGGTCCCGGGACAGCGAGGCCGGCCCTGCCCCCGCAGCCCCGCCACTGGGACCCGGCCCTCACCTGCTGCACCTGCCGGGCCAGGGCCACTAGGTCCCCGGGGTCCCCGACGCGGCCGGCACGGCCGGCGCTACCCTCGACCAGGGCCAGCTCGGGACCTGGACCGGGACCTGGACCGGGAGCGGGACCGTCGTCCCCCGGCTCCACACCACCCTCCGCCATGGCCAGGCACGGCTCCCGCTTCCGCCCGGCGGGGAGGTTTCCGCTGAGGCGTCAGCGCGCACCGTGAGAGGTGTGGCCATGGCGGGGCTGCGCTGCCGCTGACTGCGATGGGCGGGCCGGAGGAGGCGGAGCTGCTGTCGCTCCGGTGCCCGGGGCGGGTGGTGCCGCGGCCCGTCCGGCCCGTTCGGACATGGCGCTGCCGCCGCCGTTTCTTTTGCTCTTGCTGCTGCCGGCGCTGCTGGTGGCGCTGCTGGCGCGGGCGGCCACGCCACCAGAACCGGTCTCGGTCCCGACCCTGGCACCGGGAGACCCGCCGCTGCCTGCGCAGTCCGCGGACGCGCTGTTCGCCGCCGGTGCTGAGGCGTACTCGCGGGGGGACTGGCCCGCCGTAGTGCTGCAGATGGAGCGGGCGCTGCGGGCGCGGGCCGCCGTGCGCTCCCGCCTGGTGCGGTGCCGCCTGCGCTGCGCCAACGCCACGGCGGGGTCGGCGGAGGGCATCGAGTCTCAATCCGACCCGGTGCTCCGGGACTTGTGGTTCTTTCGGACGCTGCTTCGCCGTGCCGCCTGCCTGCGGGGCTGCGGGCCCGCCGCGCCCTCCCGGTACCGCCTGAGCGAGGAGATGGACCGGGAGTTCAGCCGGCGCAGCCCCTACAACTACCTTCAGGTCGCCTATTTTAAGGTCCGGCACCGGCAGCGGGGAAGGGAAGAGGAGGGAAGGGGGTGTCCCGTTACGACGGGTTTTGGGACGGGCGGGATGCACGAAGGATCCCGGAATTAGGCGGGAGGATGGAGGGAGTGGGACCGGGTGAACCAGCCGGTGGCGATCGCGGTCCCGGGACGCCGGGAGGGTTCGATGTCTGTCCCGGTAGAGTGGGGTTGCCGTCCGGCAGTCCCGGCCTTGCCCCCCCCCCGCCCCCTTCGCGCTCTCCCCCTGCTTCGCGCTCCCCCCACCAGTGCCACGTCGGAGCTCGGCGGAGCCGCCCCTGTCACCGCCCTCCAGCCCGGCCGCCGGGATGCTCGGGCACGGGTGTCCCCTCCGCTCCGCGGGGAAGCCGCTCTGTCTCACCCCCTTCCCATTCAGATGAACCGGCCGGCGCAGGCGGCGGCAGCCGCTCACACCTTCTTCGTGGCCAACCCCGGGCATCAGGAGATGAGGCAGAACCTGGAGTACTACCAGGCCATGGTGGGAGTCCACGAGGATGACTTCACGGACCTGGAGGCCAAACCCCACCTGGTGAGACCCTCCCCTCCCAAAGCCCCTGTCTGCTGTGGAACCCAGTGTGGAAGCCAGGGCAATCACACCACAGCTGCTGGCTCAGAGAGCTCATGAGATGCCATTGTGGTGGGGATGAGGTGATCCATCATGGGAAGTGGAGCACTGAGATCCCTTTATCGTTTCTCATCCCTGCACAGAGAGAGTTTCAGCTGGGAGTCCGGTTTTACACAGAGGAGCAGCCAGCTGCTGCCATCCTGCACCTGGAGAAGGCACTGGAGGAGTATCTTGTGGCAGACACCGAGTGCCGTGCTCTCTGTGAGGGACCTTACGACTACGAGGGCTACAACTACCTGGAGTACAATGCAGACCTTTTCCAGGCTATTACAGGTGGGAGTCATGCCTTCTGTGTCCTGTCACAAGAGCTGAGTACAATTCTCGGGGGGTTGGTTCACAAAGACCTGGGGTGGGAGTAGGGGGTCCCTGAAGAGTGGAAACCCCATCCTAGCTTTCACTATGGAAGGTATGGCCAGTAAGTGGCAGGAGGTGTTTACCTGCACTTAGCACTAGGGCCGATGCCCAGGAATCCTCCAAATTCCAGAGGAATATGGAAAGAGAGAAGAGAGACCAGTAGCAGGGTCACCAGGATCTGGTGGGAGCTTGAGGATGGCTACTCTGTCCTGAGAGAGCACCACAACCCCACAACTGATCAACTCAGAGGTGGACAACCTCCATCCCTCAGGGTTTTCCACTATCAAAAAGCTTGCAACAGCCCCAGTATGAGCAGGAGGTTGGACACTCCTCAGGGGTCTTGCCCAGCAGCCCATGGGTGACCGTGAGTAGTGACATGGAGTTTTTCTCCTCCAGATCACTCCATGCAGGTGCTAAGCTGCAAGCAGGGCTGTGTCACAGAGCTGGCCTCACAGCCTGGCCTCGAGAAGCCTCTGGAGGATTTCCTGCCCTCACACTTCAACTACCTGCAGTTTGCCTACTACAACAGTAAGCAACTCCTCACCCCTTTCTCTGTGTCAGCACTGGGCACTCAACTCTGCATGGGCTGAAATCGTGGATCCTCAGAGTGGTTTGGGTGGGGAAAGGACCTTCAAAAATAACTTCATCAGTCTAATCGAAGATGAAGGGACATCTAGCACTGGTCACTCAGATCTCCCAGAGCCCCATCCAGCCCAGTCATTAACACTCTGGGCAGTCTCTGCCAGGGCCTCACCACTCTCATCAGAGAAAATTCCCTCCTTATGGCCAACCTAATGCTGTCCTTCTTCAGTTTAAGACAATTCCCCTTGTCCTGTCACTATAAACCTTGATAAAGAGTTGTCTTTATCTCTTTTGTGGCCACTCTTGGTATGGGAAGGCCATAAGATTTCTCAGGAGCCTTCTCATGTCCAGGTTCAACAAGTCCAATTCTCTCAGCCTTTCTTCACAGAGGGGCTCCAGTCCTCTGACCATTTTTGTGGCCTCCTCTGGACCCTCTCTAATGAGTCCATATCCTTATGCTGGGGAGCCCAGAGGTGGAGGCAGCACTGGTGAGATACAAGTGGCATCTCACCAGAGTGGAGCAGGGGGGCAGAATCCCTCCCTTACCTGTTGCCCATGCTTTAGAAAAGTATAAAATGTTTCTGTGTGAATTTCTTCAAAAGGAGGGAAAAATATGAACTCCCAAGAGGATGGAAATCCTCAAGAAGAGAGAGCTGTGAGGGGACCTCATCAATGTTTGTCAGTATCTGCAGGGAAGTGCTGGAGGATGGAGTCAGGCTCTGCTCTGTGGTGCTGAGCAATAGGACAAGAGGCAGACACTGATGCCTGGGAAGTTCTACCTGGATATGAAGAAGTGTGCAGTGACTGAGCACTGAAGAGATTGTCCAGAGTGGGTGTTGGATCTCTCTCACTGGGGATATTCCAGACAATCTGGACACAATCCTGTGCCATGTGCTCTTGAGCAGAGGTTGGACCAGACGACCCATTGTGATCTCTTCCAAGCTGACTCATTCTGTGATTGTGTGATTCTGTGAAAGGCCACATGAAACTGCAGGTTTGCCAGTAAATGGTTGGTTCTGGCTACTTCTAAATAGGCTTTGTTATGTTTTCCAAGTGAGAAAAGTAGCTGAGCTGTACAAGTACCCCTGATTTCAGTTATGATGGTTTCTGGAGACAGGAGAGCACCACAGTCTGAATTTTGCCTTTGTGGCAGCAGTTATCCTTGCTGCAGGGGATCTGCCCTGCTCATGACACTGTTTGGAACACAAGGACTATGTCTCTCATCTCTCCTCCATACCTGTCTTCATTGTGCCTCCAGTGTCCTTGGACATGCCGTTAACAGCCCCATTTCTCATTGCAGATGGGAATTATGAAAAAGCCATTGAATGCGCCAAAACCTATTTGCTCTTCTTCCCACATGATGAGGTGATGAACCAAAATTTGGCCTATTACACTGCTGTCCTGGGAGAAAACCTGGCTAGACCCATCCAACCACGAGAGGTGAGCAATCAGGTGGGATGAATGATTGCAGGGACATCTCCTCTCCTCACTAGGGACCTTTGCAGAAGTTGCAGGGTCTCCTCCATGGCAGCTACTGAAGGTGGACAGGAATGGGTGGATTTAAGGCTGGACAAGCTGGAAAATAGCTGAAAAGCTGAAAAAAACATCACTAGCAAAATGTCTTAGGCCAAGTGAAGCTGGATGACTGGCACACATGGACCCATTCCTGAGAGAGGGGGCTGTGAGAGGCAGGTGACAATCTTTTATGAGGATTCGAGCCCACCTCTGTTGCACTTTTCCACAACTGAAGTGAAATTGCTTAAAAAGGAGAAGATTTGGCTTCAAAACAGCTAGATTTGGATGACCAGGTCCTGCCTGGGATGTGATAGGCATGGATGGGAGTCTCTGCCCCACACCAGTTGGAGTAGGGGAAGGGAAGCTGCTCCTAAAGAGCCTCCTGCAGAAGGGACACACATGTGCCTCTACTCAACTGTCATCTCCCTAGGGCTTGTCCACAGGGAAGTTCAGACAGGATGGGGAAAGCCACTTTCTTACCAGCTGCCAGATGGAGCAGGAAACCAGGCTGTGGGTCTGCAGCAAGGACTACAGAAATGGTGTAAACCTGCACCTTCCTGCCCACACTTGATGTCTTTCAGAACCCTCCTGCTGTACCTCACCCTGTCCCTCTGCCCCTTGCCACAGGAGATCCAGGTATATCACCAGCGGAGTCTGATGGAGAAGGAGCTGCTCTTCTTCAGCTACGACGTCTTTGGCATCCCTTTTGTGGACCCGGTGCGTGGTGTGAGACCAGGGGGATGCAGTGGCCAGGTGGAATGCAGATGAGGGGTCTGTGACCTGGCCGGATCCTTGTCCAGCTGCTGATGTTATTCTTCTGGCTGCAGGACACATGGACACCTGAAGAGGTGATACCAAAAAGACTGCGAGAGAAACAGAAGTGAGTGCTGTCCCCAGCCCAGCTCACCCAATGGGGGTCTGACAGGACAAACCCTTCTTCCTCTGTGGGCTTTGGGCCAAAGGCCCATAGAGCTTCTGCCAGGGGAACTTTTGCTGTTGGGACTGGAAGAGTCTGCTGGAGGGCAGAACTTTACTTCCCATCAGCCCATGGGATGATGGGACATGTAGATCACCCCAAGCACCTCAGAGTGAGGGATGCATTGGGGTGACTCTCTCCAATCTAGGTGCCAGCTTTGTTACTGGCACCTGAGACAATTTGTCCTACCCTTGTCATAGTGGCCCTCATTTCTGATGTGGGGACAGTGGGGTGGTGGTGCTGATGGCTGCTGCATGCCCAGGGTGGAGCGGGAGACAGCAGCACGCATCTCTGAGGAAATCGGCAACCTCATGAAGGAGAT